GCTAACAATGCAATCAAGGATTGAATAGTTATCTGGATCTAATTCTTAGTGTTTCTTCGCTTAACACCTCATCCTGTTTTAAACTATGCACTATCCTTTTCTTCCGACCACTGCCTGCCTAATTTCATATTCTCGAGTTCGATTGCCAAACAACAAGGATGACACTTCTCTAAAAACATACGGTGAGTTTCAGCCATAAGTTTCCTGCAATCATAAGGTCATTTTAGATGGCTCGTTCAATGGCTGACACAATTATCTGGATTCATTCGATTGTTTTGATTTGAGCGAGTGGCAACAGCATCAAGCACCCTGGAATTAATTGCCATACTGCATGTTTTATTGTGGATACTTTTGGATCATTACTCCTCACGAATGGCGTTATATATGTCGTCCACTGAATAATCTAATTTTCAAAAATAATCCAGGCGAGTTCAACTATTTTACTGGATGATTTTTCTGTACTTAACATGTATATGTTTTCCAGTTGCGTTTACCACATATTTATAATTATCTTTAGGCTAAATGCAGTAACTTCTTATAGAATGTTTATAACGCATCATATTCCTGCCTGAAGTTTCACAAGCAGTCTAAACTTTAAAATTACTTGTCTGGTCATGTTCATTATTTTTAAATCGTCATATACGTCAACAACCTGCATGTTAACCTGGTTCATACATACGTTACACTATATCTCCATGTCTTCTAAATTTAGAAATCATCTGGATCGCCTCTAACATTTATTAATAAACCCATCATAGTCGTTGTTGCTAATCGTATTTGGATTTATGGATTGGTTTATCAAATTAGCAGTCTAAAATGCAAACAATTTAGATAATAAGATTAAAAATTTAGGTACTATCAACTGCACTAGTAAAATTACTAAATCCTCAGGTAGTTGTTGGTTGAACAAACTTTTAAAATCTAAACTCCGTAGCCTACTAGAATTAACATTAAACAAATATTTCTGAATTGAAATTTATAATTAAATTAGGCGTCTCGGATTCTTTAACGTTATAAATTTCTGATTATTTTGAATCACCTAAAACAACAATGCCTATTTTTCCACTGGCCAATCTTCAATCAACACTATAACTAATTAAACATAATAGTTTCAGGATATCTTCATAAAGCATTGTCATGACTTGACAATTACGTAATATGATTGATAAAATTAATGAAACTATTAACAAAATCGGTCAGCAAATTGACTTATAATTATCACTAGTGTTGTTTTTCTTCATTCACTACAGATGATTACAGTATGTTTCTCTATCAGTTGCTCATTCAGTAAATATCTCAAAACTTTGTCAGTCTAATTGATGGTTTAGCGACACAATCATGCATGCAAATAATCATTATAAGCAGTCGAGCAAATATCCTGCAAACTGAAAACATCAATGTCGAATTTACCCCAACACTGACTAAGGTTCAAGCTATTATCATAGGCATGAGTTGGGAGTGCACTCCCCTTGGTTACAACTTATGTTCTCCCTGATAATCACATGAGCATCACTCACTATTAATCATCTTGTAAAAAATTATTTAGCCAAATACACCTTGCAGCACCACATCACTTAGTAATATGACACATAGGTTTAACTAATTTCAATAACGTATAACCACTATATCTCAATTAAATCGTGTTCCGCCTTATGATAAACTGCATACTTTCAACTAACTTGTATACCCAATCAGCCGGCAAGTATAGATATAAATAAATAGTCTGCCGCAGATCAGAACATTGAGTCTAGAGCATGTCTCTTAAGAATACACTCATGTTTAACGATTTGTTCCTAGCTATCTGTCCAAAATGCACATAATTACCACTCACGTATTTAAATTTTGTTTTGATAACCATTCATGTGTATTAGTAGTATTAATAAATTCTATCACGGTCAAGTAAAAATGAGGTTGAGAAAATCTCCCCGTTACTAAACAAACCGTATCAAACTAACTGGAACACTAGTTGGAATTCTTCTCCACGGTAATACTTTTGTTCCTTCGGTTAGCCTACTAATACAGATGCAATTGGAAATCGACTCATATGGACAACTTACCGGCATAATCGTTATTTGATTTCATAAGTTAGACTAAAAGTAGTACTAATATTAACATTTCTACAATATTCATAATTTTAATATTTCTAAACACAAAATACTTACTACCTATACGTTAAGTTATCAACCAACGGCTATTACACACGCATCGTTTTATTATTACTATTATTATTATTGTAATCCCATTTTTTATTGCTCAAATAATCACTCAAATTTTCATTGTAAGCATGTTAAACATGAAGGCAGATATTTTAAAGTTATTACATGTATTTCCCGACCAGATGCTGCCGTCTTCCTTTTGATTTATCTTTCAGCTTGTCATCACCCGGAGGATTCTTACTAGTCTTGGTAACCTTCGGCACACTACAGTCTCATCCAATTGGGTATCGAACCAACACCACGTTGATTCTGGTGGGAGAGTAGTGTAGTGGCATTGGACCATAACCACACTATCCTCAAAGCTGAATACGAGATTACTCGGAAAATAGGTATTCAATATTTAACGCGAAGAAATACCTAACGATGGAGAAGGCGCGAATAATGAACTGAAAAAATTAGAGTTGATCGAATGGCATGGCTCGGCCATGCAGGCGTGGTCCCTCTGAATGTTACCATATATCTTCTATTCATACTAAATATATTGTTCTTTCTCTAGCCTAACCTTGTTCTACATCATGTATTGGTAATTGATACGATACAGTGAGTTGGTGTAGTCGATGGTGTGACTTCCACGTAAGATCTTATAGATTAGGCAGTTATATCATGACATATCTACAAATTTAGGATTAGGTCTATTATTAGAGCAGTACTAATATCATAGTAGACCATAAGTTCTGCAAGTCTTCGCGCCCTGGCACGAATGGGTGGTCCTGTATTAGAGATATTGTGTTGAACATGGTGTATGGAGCATTCGCTTTGGTAATCAGCTCTGGCTATCCTTTCGTACTTCGACAGGATATCAGTGAAAATTTTGTTTTCAGGTCTTAAAATTCGAACGCCATGAATTTCGTAATTCGAGGTAGGGGTGCCACTGACCTGTAAGCTTGTGTTCTTGTCAATAAGTTTCTTTTTCTCCATATCTACCAATAGGCTGTAAGCACCAAGAAAGTCGGCCCCTGAGAATGGGTTGTTTGATTTCAGCTACGATGAAAACCCATGTGAAACGTCTACTTAGACCAAGATCTAAGATAAGTGATTGTTCACCATAAGTTTTAGTGACTGTATTATTGGCTGCGACTAGAGACAATTTAGAACTTTGCGAGTGTCGTCGTTGAGAAAGGTGTAATGGGACTATGCTGATTTCGGCTCCAGTATCGACCAAAAAATCTGAGCCCGAAATTCGATCCCTGACGTGAAATAGACGGCTCGGGTAGTGGCCAGTAACAGGCGCCGCCATCACTGTCTGGCCGTCTCGTTTCCTTGGTCATTTGGGTTGCTTGTTTTAAAGTTGCACGGTTTAGTGCAACGGCGTGCCGTCTTCCCGAAAGTCGCATGATACCAGCAAGTATCTGCTACCCGTTTGGGTGACCTAGAGCGAGGTCTGGATACTGATCTCCTTCTGGACTTAGATCTGGCAGGTCGAGAATGGATGTTAGAAATAGTCGCCTGCAGTGCTGCTAGCTGCTGTGTTAACTGTGTTATTTGTTGTTGGATGCTGTTAGATGGGCTCATCGCGTCTCTACTAGAGGTTTGTAGTACATTCAAACGCTGACTGTCGGGATAAATCTACATCATTTTGTCTGCCATATCAGCTAGATCGTCGAGATTGACGGAAGTTCCTGATACGCTGAGAATTTGGGTGACGTTCTGTGGTGAACATTGGAACCACATCTGTTTAAGTAATGCATCGTCTACTTTATATGACCCTGCTAAATGTTTCATATGTCGGAGTAATTGCGAGGGTCTCTTGCAAGACGTTAGCAATTGATGCAGTCTTTTCTCGTCTGAAACCGAGGTGCGTTGGATTACGGCTGTCTTTATTTTATCATAAGGTTCAGCTTCTGGCACGTGATCGATTAAATCTTCGACTTTCTCAGCAATCTCAATAGGGAGTGCGCCAACTACATAAGCATACTTTGTTGCCTGAGATCTTATACCTCTAGCCATGAACAAAGCTTCAATTTGTGCAAACCAGATTCTTGGATTATTAACGCCGTACGTTGGTAGTCTTAAGTCTGAAATTGCGTTGATCGAGGTCAAGGCATTATCTTCTGATTGTCAAGAGTTCAAGGAGTTGATCAGTGGACTATCTATATCAATGAGTTTACCAGGAGAGTTCATGATGGCAAAAACAAAAAAAATGGACTAGCGTGCCAAGTAATAAAAAATGAATATATATAAACAGTAAACGTCTAGAATGAATTCAGGGCTCAACAAATAATTGTGGTGGACCAAACAGATATGAACGCAAAAAGTATAAACAAAGTTATTAAAAATCAATAGTAATATTAATATATATAATTAATTGTTACAAATACAATAAAAATTAGGGACGTTACTTAAATTGATCAGATGTTGCGTGTTATGATTAGGTCCATTAATGTAAATCCACAATTATAAGCGTTTGCTGATTCTTAGCAGGTTGGCGAACTCTCTAGTGATATAGTTCAATATAGGATGTGATATATTCCGATTACAGTCGATAAATGTAGATAGTATTTGATTTAGACTTCAGTTAGCTCAATCACAATGAAAATAGAACGAGGAGTGTGTGAGAAGCAGTGTATTTGTTAGCCAGCAGCGGTATGTCACGCTATGTAGTAGTACAACGGAAAGTGTGTTCAAGGTCTTTTACTAAAACAACAGTTACAGTCATTTAATGTTAAATATACATACAGTGGAAGGTTGACAAGATAAATACAAATAACATTGAAAACTATTTACAAAATAAGGTTGTTTGGGCTATCTCCACACGCGTTTACTCAAATGACCTGATACACATATCAAAAAATACAATCACATTGACTGGAATTAGTGCATCCGAGTGATCCCTCTAACTGTGTCGAAGAAATAAGCGAAGACGAAGAAATTAGTCGATTTACATAAGTTCGTGTTTAAGGTATTGGCTATTGGATATGTGATCAGGTTTAAAGTGGACGTTACTGGTCAGCTGTTTTTATTGCATACATCGGTTGACTTCAATTCATACGTTATATGTATCAGTAATATTTGAATACACAACATACTCTTCAAAATCCATTCGATAAAATCCGGTCATACTGTCACATCATCAGTGACTCAGTTGGTTTTGCCGTTATACGTGTATTTTGGATATTCTCCTAGATACACGACTCAGGTGACCAATCTTGACATTTTTGTCATTTGTTTTGATAGTTTAGTACTTTGACTCAGTTTTGAGCCTTTTAGGTTCCTTAATGAGCATGGTTACGAGCTTATGCTTACCTAAAGTGATATGTATACTGTACTATTAAGTAAGTTGGATAAGGAAATCTGATGGTTGGAGCACAGTCGACTGGAATCATGATATTTGTAAGCTGGCTTATTTGAACGAATAATTCTCTGTTGAATGCAAAAGACACGTGATTCTCGAATTCTTCTGGAAGTCGAAGTGGTATTTAAATTCAGGAACTATATGTATGCGTTCGCGGTTCTGTGTTATGACAAAGACTACACTTGCATTTTGTTACATTTTGTACTCTTTACCTTGTCCACTATTATTCTGTTGTGCTCGTACTGAGGAGTTGCAGAGTAACGTTTGAAAATTAATGTTATATTTCTGATATTACCATGCACCCATAGCGTCGTTAAAACTTTAAGTGGTTGCTTATGCGAGTCACATGTCTATCAAATTTGAAACAGGTAAAGTTGAGTACATATTTTACGTGTTTAAAACATACATTTTCTGCTTTGAAATGCTTCTCACGAAGTTTCATTAATCCTCATTAAGTGACAGACTTTTGCTTGGATCTTTCAACATTGGTTATCAAAATGTATCCTGATGCCAGAAATAACCCACATCTATGTAGAGGCAATAGAAATATACGTCAAGCAAATGGAACCACTCATCGTGCCACTTCTCGTCCAGTAACATCAGCACATACCTACTGGTGTCCAAGTTCAGTAACAGATAATTTTAACAGTGGATCTGGACATCGTAACCACTATAGACCATATGACAGCCTTTTCTACCCGTATAGGAGAAATAATCCCTGGATGACTGCCAGGGACTTTCTATGCCATCCTTCAAGAAACTCTGGCCATAGAAGAGGTTTTCCATATCCCGGACATGAATTTGGTGGCCATCAAATTATTGGGACGCTATCAACCTCTGAGCCTTCAACCAATCCAAACTATTCGGTTGAGTCCACCTACTTAGTTCAAGCTGGTTCTTCAGAAAGTGATGCTTCCTTGTCTGTTCGGCAACGACCAACAGCTAACTTAAAAGTAGATTGTAAACCTAATAATCATGATAATTTGAGGAGTGAGTCCATGTTTTGCAGCTTCTTTATAAATATAAATATGATAAATTATTTGCATCAAGAGACATATCATAAAAATTGATAAAACTGATTTCCACGAGACAAATAATAAACAACGGAATAATTAAATCAGAAAAAGTCAAAAGATATATTTAGGGATTGCCTTTTTTATTCCTTTTTATAATTGTCCATTTATAGGACGGAAAAATGTTGCGGGTTATTTATCGGTTTCGGTTTTAAATTACATCTGGATTTAAAACCAAAATGTAATATCAGTATATGAAATCGTCGACTTGAGTAAAACGTGTTGGGAAACGAACACTGCTTTATAGTTTGTCACTATATTATATAGCTGATAGGGCGTTTTAGTGTAGCAGATTTATTAACTCTATCTTCATCTAGGTGTTGAACACTGGTGTTATATTCTACTCATCCCTCTACTTTATTCTCTTTTTTAGTGTTTAGTTTTATACCAGCGTCATTCCGATTTCTTTGCGTTTTGTCTTTTTGATTTCTGTAGAAATATTCTCATATTAGTTGTGGTAACTTGAACCGATAAACACTTTCACCAGGTTTAATGCTGTGTATAACTGACTAATTTAAAATTGTGACCATACTGTTACCTATGTTGGAGTGTGGATACCAGCTTAATTTTCCAGTCATGCTGTATTGAACGAAGACTTGGTGGGGGGATCAATTTATTATTCAATGCAAAATTACAGAGTTCTTTCCTAAAATGTGAAAGTCATACATAAAATACTTCATTTATAAATCTCCCATCAACTGTTTTCCACATCCATGATTCTTCTGATTTTCAATTTCTTTCTATTTCCCTTTCTGTTTTCTTCAGTTCAGTATTCTCAACCTACTTTTGGTGCTACATACTACTTATGTCTGTCGGCATAAGTAGCGCGCACCACAGTGCTACCGAGTTTCCTAACAGTGATAGTGACAGAATTCTTTCTAGTACAAGGAAAGCTATATGGTCACATACTCTTCAAGGTGCTTTAATATGATTTAATCAGATACTTATAAATTTCATACATTCACAAATGTAAATTTCCTCCCTCGGTCTTTTTACGTTAACAAAAAATAAAATGTTATTGAATGAAGTGTTTCAAGAACAGCATCAGACTAAATTTTAGGACTAGGAATTATTATAGTAGTTAGTCTTTCTAATTATTCCTGTTCCAGGATAATAATTTCTTTTTGGTTGAGATCATGAATCAATTGATGTTAGACCACCGTTGGAAACCTGGAAGCACTGGACGGCCGTTTCGTCCTAGTATGGGACTCCTCAGCAGTGCGCATCCACGATCCCGCGAGCGGGATTCGAACCCAGGACCTACTGGCTTCGCGCCTGAGCACTTAACCATTAGACCACTGAGCCGGCATCCAATGGTGTTAGTGTCTAACATCAACCAATCCACGAAATTGCGCGACCAACTTCCATTGTACTGAGGTAGATACCTGTCTCTACCCGACACGGATTAGCTCCACTGGTCACGACTTCTCACTAGATTTTCGAGAATTCCCTCACGAAGCTAGTCACTAGTGAGCACATGTCCTGGGTTCGAATCCCGCTCGCGGGATCGTGGATGCGCAGTGCTGAGAAGTCCCATACTAGGACGAAACGGCCATCCAGTGCTTCCAGGTTTCCAACGGTGGTCTAACATCAATTGATTCATGATCTCAACCAAAAAACTTAACAATCTCCACAACCCCCATACTGATAATAATTTCTGTTTGTATATAGAAATCGAGACATATTCCTAATTCAAGGTTAGACTTAAAAGTCAACTTTTTAAACCACCCTATGAATACCTTTATTTAAACACTTGATTTATACGCTATTCCATCCTTAATAGTTTAACAACTATTAGCAGTCGCGTATATATAAATAATGAGACCTTATTATACGTATATGTCCATCCCTAATTGTGATTGTTAATAATAGATCGACTCACTGAGATTGCATACGTCAATTTAGTAAGCTCCAGTGTGCGTACGTTGAATGATAATAAACGATGCTGCCTTTTACTCATAACCGTACAGTTTGAAAAAAGTACCTATTTTATATTCATAACTGGCCAAAGCATACCTCTTATTTTGGTAGGATTTCAACATTTTGTGATGTGTTCAATTAAAAAATTGATATGAACTAAGTGTTTCCTGCAAATTTCTTGTGTTTATTTTGTTGGTTGATCTTGTTTTCAGTCATTGGAAGTTAACTAGACATATGTTTTACGTAGTTATCACTTACTTTGTTTCCTTCTAATTTTGAGTGTTTACATTTTATGGCGATATTTATGATATCTATTGGTCAGGTAACCTTATCGATGAATTGCGCAATAGCACATATCATTGTATGATATGTATTTCAGAAATTCGTGTTACTGACCGAATTTGGTCATGTGCTACGTGTTATCACATTTACCACCTATCATGTATCAGGTCTTGGGCCAAAAAATCATTCCAGGAACCTAACATCGAGTCTGGTTCATCTTCCGTTTGGCGCTGTCCATCTTGTCAAACAAATTATGATTTGTCTCCCCAACTAATTTCTTACCGATGCTTTTGTGGACGCACTGAAAATCCTGAATTTCACCCTGCTCGTTTTACAATACCACATGGTTGTGACCAGGTTTGCAGTAAAGTGAAACGAATAACTTTTGCATCCAATTTGTCTGATTATCAGTGCACCCATCTTTGCACAGAGTGAGTTTAAAGATATTCAAACTTATGTTTCGTAACATTCAAGATCAAGTAATTTTGGTTAAGTAAGCAGCATCGCTTTGTATTTCTTTTTAACTTCTCTTTGGCTAAAAATATGAATAGTTAGATTTTTGAAGTTATAGGGGAAAAATCCCAAAACGAATGTGTTGTAGTATGATAAAATGGATTAAGATAGAAAAGAAACAGTCGTAAAACATTAGTCTTGAGAGGTGATAAAGGAAGAATAAGAAACTTGAGTAGTTATTAACTGGTGAGTTAGTTTGTATTTTTTGACGAGTTTTTACCAAACAGTTGTCGTTTTATAGTATATATATATATATATATCACTGTAAGCTATCGTCTGACTTAGAAATTTTTGTCACATTTTATCGTTCATAAATTACAGTCAATAAATCTTAAATCTGTTGCTTGGCTTTATATTTAAAATTTTCCGGTTAAGTACACTTTGTTATATATTATTTGTGGTCATGGATTTAAATTGTATACCTACTTAATTTAGGAGCAAAAAGTACTTTTGACCACTTATCTTGTTTTTATGTGTATTAAATGAAGTTTGGGAACGTTGGGGTTTGTATGGTCTATCATTCGTATGTGTGTATGGGGATAATGGATTCATGGTTTATTATACGGCCAAAAATAATAAATTATAAGCCTATGTGATTCACACGCAACATTTTGATCGATGTTGAGCAACATTAAAATAAAATTTTCATTCATTGATCTTGAACACTTCATAAACACCAACACATGAGCTCTTGCCGACGTACACAAAATATTACTGACACCGAGCTTTTTTCGAAAGAATGTTGATTATTTTTTTAGTTTTGGATCTCCGTTGATAGTTCGATATTCTTTATTTGGTAAAAGGTTCAGGTAAAAATGAAGCAGAAAATATTTATTATCGATACCACTGTGGTATAGCTGTCGAAGTATGGTAATAATGAACAGAAACTTGGAACCAGATATAAGTTACGCAATATACATGATTTTCCAACAGTCGTAGTTAGAACCTCATTTCTGTTGCATTTTAGTAGCAGTGTATTTTTTTCCCATTTCACTTAGCAAAATAAATATTCACAATTAAGCAAAATTAGTTCACATGGAATCAAATTTGTAAATAGATTATATTCACCTCTATCGACTCTAATTTTTATTTAGTGTAGTGTACAAGAAAGCAGACATTATCACAGTTCAGATGTTACCTTGATTAAATGACGGTCACATTTTAACTATATTCTCAATAATACATTACTTTCCTTCCTATGATGTGACAAATGCATTTAATTATTGATCTCCATTTTGTATATCGAGAGTTTTTCATCAATTTATCGGCTAATTGTTTTTAATTGCTTGCAGATATAAACTAAACATTTTTTATCAATGAATTATTATCAACAATAAAATTTCATTATAGTCTATTTTTGTTCCTACAGACTTTGTCATCCAGGTCCATGCCCTCCATGTTTAGCGACTATCACTTTGAGTTGCCCATGTGGAAAATTTCAACGTCCTGCTACTTGTGGTGATTCTAATCTTCAATCTTGTGGTCAAATATGTGAACGTCAGCTTTCATCTAATTGTGCAACTGGTTTTCATATATGTTTATCAACTTGTCATTATGGTTCTTGTAATCCTTGTCAGTGGATAATTGAAACAGGTACATTTCATATTATATTTTGTATTAACAGTTTTAATCCTATGAATTATTTGCATAAAAAAACAATTGTTTGTAATAGTGTTTAAGTTCTACATTACTGTTGATTATAGTCGTTTACTTTGTCGATTGTATACATTTTGCTTCTAAAGATTTAGTATTATAGAATCTTATTTTATATCAAATAATAAGTTGGGCAGTAAGCCCATATGGTGAGACTATAATTTATGGACGAACCAATTATATTTAGGATAACAGGTTTTTGATTTTGATGCAAAATTAATTCATCCGTTTGACTAAATAACGTTTTGGCATTTTAGCTGATGTCAGCTCGTGATGAAAACTGTAGATCTAATTAATAATCCTCAACTGTAAGTCGTAATCCTTATTCTTCACACAGCTTTATAACCCTCATTTAGTGCTAGTCAGTAGGCGAACATTCTCAAAGTCACTTTAGCGTCGTTCAAAGGTCATCCATAAATTGTAGCCTCACCAACCCATGTTACTTTAGTATTCCCATTTTTACTTTATCGATTTTTGGAGATTTTACGAAATCTTAAACTGAAACGAAACATCCAACAAAATACTCCTAACTTTCAGCCGTTATTCAATGAAAGTTAATGACACCAATTGCTTGCAGCGAATTTTCATCAACCAAGTCAAAAGTCAAATAGTTATTTACTAATAGGATGTAGTGAAGATCATATCATGTTGCAATTTAACTAAAATTAGAAATATACCAATACTTTGTATTCCCTTCATTTATTTAGTTCCACATTTGTGCTTGGCATTTATCTTCCTACTTAAAATGCATATTATGTGATTCGGTGTTTTTTTAAAACGTTTATTAAAATTCGACTCAACTGAGGAAGCCATTCGTATCTTTTTAGATGATCGATAATGAAAGTTTGATCATTTCCACACAGATTTAATGTATATCCCAATTTCTGTAGTATTATTTCTTGAGAAACAAAATGAAAAAACGAATAGTTGAGCACCATATATATAGTATAATTATTTAGTACGTGGGTTATGATATTTATTTATTCCCTTAATTGTAAGTTTCCTTTTGACTTATAAGATATTGTTTTATATGTTACCGTCCCTAAACTGTCGTTTACTAATTATGAGTCTATTACTCAATTTCGTATCACTTATGTCTTGTCCATGTGCATATTTTGACTCATTACTTGTGATACCGTAAGTCGGATAATCAATGTTTACAGCCAGACTGACATCACGAAGGCGCCAAAGGTGGCCCAGATTGGCATAAGCCGCTCTGGCTTTGATTGTACGTGAATCGATCTTATCACTTACGCCACTACCAGCACTTATGTAGCTACCTAGATACACGAACTTGCCGACTACTTCTATCTGCTCACCATCCAAGGTGAGTACAGGATTAGAATCCTGCCAGTCTTGTAGAAGTACTTTGCACTTCGAAGGTGCAAAGTACATGCCATACCTACGGACACAAATAGAATGAAATGACGATATTTACTGAACGACAAAAGGTGATTAGTCCGATATTCGTTAAGTGAACTAGTTACACTGACGGTCTCTATTATCCGCTGATTTCTATCTTTAAGTAATCCGTTCACTTGGGTAATAATAAGACATTGAATGAAAAGCTGAAAATCGACTACTAATACTATTACGACTTTTCTTCGGTGTGCACAGTGAAGCTATGGTTCCTTTCTTAATCCATTTACCATGGAAGTTATCAAAACCTTCCAGATTATAGATATAGTGAAGAATTGAAGGAAAGAGAAGCGATCAATTCTATATGAAACATATTAAAATCAAACACCTAGTTTGAGAAATTCTTAATATAGTTGTATAGTACTATAATCCATTATATAAGGGTATAACGTTATTGAAAAACAGCTTGACTATGATCAGTATATAATTGAATTCTAATACAATTTCCTAACTGTTATAAAACACTGAGCCGGTATCCAACGGTGCTAATGTCTAACTTCAACCAATCCACGAAATTGAGCGACACATCCACCATTGTCTTCAGTGAGTTACTATCTCACAAACGACCCGGTCGAACCTCACTGGTCACTGCTTTTAACTAGAACTCCAGGAAATACCTCTTGAAGCCAGTCACTAGTGAGCATATGTTGATTAATATCAGAAAGGCTTTGGTGGATATCATAGTAATTAACGCCGTTGGATGCCGCCTCAGTTGTCTAGTGGTTAAGCGCTCGCGCGCGTGGCCAATAGGTCTTGGGTTGGAATCTCGTGAGGCTGTATCGTGGATGCGCACTTCTGGGAAGTCCCACAATAGGACGAAACTGCCGTCTAGTGCTCCCAGGTCTTCCATGGTGGTCTAGCTTCAATTGACTCATGATCTCAATCATTGAAATTGTCATAAAACACTTTATTTTATTGAAATCTATTATCAAACAAGATAATAACGTTAATAAATAATTCTAAATAATAAGATTTTCAGCTGGTATTATCATTCAATGTATTACTGGTCATAAACAAATTTCTACATTTGAATTGAATTTCAATGCTTTTTTTCTTTACATATGATTCATTTTTGTGTTGATTGTTTGAATCAAGTCCCGGAGTGAACATTAACTCTAAGATGCAGGTACATTCAGCTGATGAGTCCCAACTGGGACGAAATGTGTGTCCTGGATTCCACTGCTAGCCACTATCCACTTTTGCTCATAATGATTTATTTTTTGTTTTTTTATAGCTTGTTTTTGTGGTCAGGATAATAATGTAAAGTTGATTTGTGGCAGTAATGAAATACGAAAATGCACTTTTTCTCAGAAAGATTTACAAACTTTACGTACAGCTTTTGTGGAATTTCAAAGTAAAATAATCAGTAACGATTATTCTGATGCTTTAAAACTCCAAGGAATATCAATTACTGATGAATTATCATTACATGCTAATGATGATTTAAACAATAATTTATCCTCTCAATTATCCAAACATGATATCCAAAATACTGATTCGACTAGAATAGTTAATGATAATAATAAACAAATTATTTCATCTGATTTACTATTGGTTAAAATTGGTCCTACTTTCTCATGTGATCGTGTGTGTGGTCGTCAGTTAAGTTGCAACAATCATAAGTGCTCAAATGTCTGTCATTCTGGAGAATGTCCACCTTGTGCGCTTGATCCGGCATGGTGTTTAACTTGCCCTTGTGGAAAAACACCTCTCACTAAATTGGTTAGTTTATATTGTAGTTTTAATGCTTGATATTTACAATGTGTAGTTATCATTTTCTTAGTTTAAAAAAATATGATCCACTCGTCAGTCTGATCAATAAAATTGGACTAGTTGGTTAGTAGGGTGGTGGCTCTCTGTAGTTTAGGCGCTTAAATTTCAGCAATTAATTCCCATATTCGAAACCCGCTCCACCTACTTCAATTTGGGTAATCGATCGATATCATTAGCTCTCACACTTAGTGTCGCTCATACTTAAATACCTGGTAAATATGTTAATCTAATCCGAGTAAAGTTCAATTATTGATTCGTTATGAGTTCATAAAGCATTGAATAACTTATCGTCATTCATAGCTATATAATATATTTGTTATTGAAATGAATTTATTATTTACAATACTGATTACTTGTCTTACTTATCCATTTATAGAGTTGTGTCAGCCTTAATACATGGGCCACTGATTAAATATAAACTCAGCTATAGAACGTTTACTTGATATTACTTTACTTGATATTAATTATCTAAAAGAGGATAAGATCGTAATATACTTAAGAATAAGCGAAGCAAATTACATTATCTTAAGTAATCAATTGCTGTTAGTACGAGTCGTATGCGATTTTCTTCAGTGTATGAGTGACGTCTCCAAGTAATGTAGATCAACATAGATAATAATGGGGAAGATACCTTACTCCTTTAATCTTTGCAAATTTTACTAATCTCCACTTATTTATTCCTCCACTTAATTATGTTCATTTTGAATTCATTTCATTATTTTTCTCGTTTCTTTTGATAATCTTTCGTTATCCTTTTACTATGTGTAACTGTATCAACTAGTGTACGCTATTATCCAAGTTTTCTATTTGCTCGCTTTTATAATATCGCAGTAGTGTAGTTAATGAAGACACAAGTGGGATTAACCGATTTATTATTCTATGCATTATTTGGGCATCTTCCTTCATTTGTCCCTAACATAATTCCTGATTGTCCCAATTCTTTCGCTATTCCAAGCGCTCTTCGTTTTCCTTTCTCTTCTCTTCATCTCATTCTCCTGTTAACAGGCATTCTACTTCCGACTCCTGCTACATACTACTTATATCTGTCAGCACAAGTAGCATACACAACAGTAGTAGTAGTTCTGTTATTAGGCGGTAATCGTTGAATTTGGCTTGAATCAATATTTCTAACATGTTTGAGTGGTGGCTTTGTTTTTGTAAAACGCACTTTATATCTACAATAAATCCTTTGGAAATATATTTGAATTTTTGTTCTACCTTTCTTACTATTGTAACATATTCATATCTAATATTTATTTGGTTATAGAAAAATTAGTTCATTTTTTTACATTAATTCTTCACTATAGGTATCAACGAGTTGTTTATACGGCAATCGACAATCGTGTACAGATCCTCTACCTACTTGTCCTAATGTCTGTGGGCGTCCTAGATCACTTTGTGGTCATACATGTTCAGAATATTGTCATACTGGCCCTTGTCCTCCATGTGAATTATCTATTTCATTAAAATGTCGTTGTGGACAAAGTTCAAAAGTAATGACATGTCAAGAGTTCTCTAAATTATCAGATAAAGAAGGTAATTATTTATATTTTCTACTTTGAGGATTAATACAATTTATTGAATGACCTTTTAAAAATTTATGATGAATTATAAAAGTGAAATTTATTCAGATATTTTTATTGTATTTAATCAGTCATGTTCATTTTGGTCTGTCATTCAAATGTACTTTTAAGTGAACATATCTTAATTCAATGTGGAAACTGTTCTGTTCATGAATTAACACTAGTCGGTAAACCGTTGTAAACCAGTGAAAGCCACTGGTCAGTTTTGCCATAGTTTTAAACTTCTTAATAGTACACATCTACGTTCCAGTGTGTGGTCGAACCGAGAACATGTGAGTCTTACCTTAAACATAACATCTGTGAACTATTGAATCTCATACTGGTTCATATTTCTCACTTCGATCAATTGGTAATGTGATATATTGTTCATTTTATGTCATCTTATTCTTGACATTATTAAACAAATATTTTTATGGGTTCTTATAAAATCATCGAGAGATCATCTATAGTATCCTTGTTATTGTGTAAACTTTTTCAACTTCTAATAATCTATCTAATTATCTTACTTCATTTTTTGCCGATCTTCTGTAATAAATAATAACGAAAGATTTATTTTATAGTTTTTTTAAAATTAAAAATTCATATAGATCACTGAAAATATTCCAATTAGGGTTTTCGTTTATTTATTTATTATTTATTTTAACACAGATATTGGTACAAGGAGTCACCAAATACATATGCGCCACACAAATCTCGTTCGATATGCGTGAGGGCTACGATACTGCCTGGGTGCCCAAACCGAAGCAGGTGGTTTTCCTAGGAGGCCACTCCCCGAGCCTTCGACCTGAAGGTCTAATCCACAAGGCAGTGGAGCAGTCCCATGGCAGCCGGTGACCGACAATCGGTTCATACGCTATTTGTTCCTTCAGGGTACTGTAGCCCATGTGAACCATTCAGTGGTACAAGGTGACTAGAGTTGTAAGTAGATCGATAGTTGCCTTTTATATACGAAAAATTATACAAAAATCGTTTGTATATTGTATTCATTTGCAAGTTATTTCAAGATATATCATTGAAATTTTATAGGCATTCCTGAACTCTGTTGTCAACGTGTATGTAAGAAGAAATTAAGTTGTGGTCGACATAAATGCAAAACATTATGTTGTAATGTAAGTTTTAAATGAAGTAGGTTCGTTATTTAACATTTTCTCATGTTTTAGTGATAAATCGGTAGATATTTTTTTACAGTAATCACTGAGTAATGCTTAATGTCATGATTGTATAGTCTTTCATGTTGATCGAATTCCATTGATCAATTTGCAATGTAGCCACCAGTCTTGATATTGCGTACACTACGTTCTAACGTTAACTGGTTGAATGTAGTTGCCAGGAGAACCGGGATCTCGATGTCCTGGTAGTTGGTATACATCAGCAATGCGCATGTGCTATTTTGAGTGAACTGGTGCTACCTCATAGGCTTGAGCCCCTGGCCACCCAGTTTCGCAGCCTGTAACAGTCAGTCAGTCAGCTACAATGTAGGACTGGGCACATATATGCATCGGTCTAAGTTGCCATACCTCATTAACACAACGAGATGGACACCGGATTCATAAAAGTCGTTAATTCAGAGGTGGTAGTATATAAAAGAAATATTGCAATAAGGATATAGTACAGGAAGAAAGAATTAGTTCATAGAAAGAAAGATATGAAGCGATTTTAATCTCTTAGTTTAAAGGAAGACAGAGAGTGTACACATCGACGCCAATGTGATCGGTTCAGAGCCATGTCACCAAGAGTCTCCAACCATTGGTTACGATAGTCACGCGGACCCCAACCAAGTAGTCTGCATCTACCAACATGACTCAGACTACAAGACCGTTGTTGCTACCTTGACGTGGTGGTCGGGCTTGCCTATCATGATGAAGCAACCGAGCTATACTGGATGAAACAACTGTTCCTTAAGGTCCTACTATGTCAGACAGGTCGGTTGAAGAGCGGTAAAACTAAAAGCTACAAACCCAAGGTCCGAAGGCGAAGTCGTACTGTTGACTGTACAGAGGTGCGACAGCAGTAAGGTGTTCCCTTCAGACAACCAGCATGACAGCGATGCTGCCTTTCCACAAGGAGGGGTGGGGTTAGGAACGGTCGACCCTAAAAATGCACACCTCATCTTATCCCAAGGACATCCGTCTCCGGCAGTAAGGTCTCAACAAGTACGGAGCTAACACACAAATTACCCATAAAAAGGTCGTGTGTGACCGACCTCAAGCAGTTGTCCCTTGGGAACTGCGGTCACGCTCCCAGGTCACTAAGACCACCTCTAATCCAATTTCCTTTTCAGATACCTCCAGAAGAGCATCCTATGACGTCATCACTGAGCTATTCAGATCACGACTGACTGCCCATAGGACTGGAACATCTGCACTAATTGATCACTGGGTAATGATCATTTTGTGTTTTAGCATTGATCGTGTTCTATCTAGCAAGTCACACTGTTGTCACTGGTATCAGTAACTCTTTTTTGCATGCTTTGTGTATTGATATTAAATGGTTGGATATAGCTGAGGGCAATTGGAACTAGAAAAGTTTAGTAACAATGTTTGACAGCTTGGATGACTTGGCATTAGTTCCCTCAAGATTTCAGGGACACCGTACTGACGAGTGTCGAATAGCATGAAACCTAGTTCTAGGGTTTCCTGCCATCTGCTTAAAAGCTATTTAACACCTAGTAGAACAAAGCATCTTTTTCTCCGAACTAAATAGTTTCCTAAATAGCTGTATAACTTTAGGTTTTTTCCTAATGCCAAGCACCAATTAACGGATTTTCCACTTCATTAGTATAAACTGTGAATTCTTCACCGTGAATTAAGAGATTTTAGCTATTCAATTATTTTGACTTTAACTTAATTTTTTTATGGGACATATACCAATGTATTTTATTTTTAAAAGGTAGTAATACTGATAAAAAGCATACGGTTCCTGTCCTCACTGTCGTTTATATCATAACTCCGTAAAGTTTTGCACAATGATGTCATCTGATTATTGACAGTTGGTTAAATAGTAAGGGTTCCTCTACGCGGTTAGCTTTATGCTTTTAGATGACAGTCAATGCACGTAGTGTATTCGTAATCACTTTGCCTGTTATATCTGTGAAGAAGTGAATAGTTGTTTCCAGAATAATAGGTTAAATTTTTTCTTGCCATCACTGGATTTCTTCTAGCTGTAGTATATAAACAGGTATCTGCGAATGTGCGACTTAAACTAATGAAATCATCTTTACATTGTTAGAGCATCCGACTGAAAGGGAAAATTAAAAATGATGAGTAGCAGCTGGTAAATACTCAAGTACAATTGTTCGGTAGGCACATTCTTACGGATATCTCCATTGCTTGGATATCGACTTACGGTATATCTACACATTAACTAATCTCAATATACTGTTTTCATTTCAGTTGTCATCCATTTCCATCGTTTATGAATTTTAGGATACTATACACTCATGCTCTGAAATCTGTGGCCGTCGATTATCTTGCCAACTACATTATTGTGAAGAACAGTGTCATTCAGGACCATGCAATTCTTGTTGGCGTGGTATGATTTATTCAGAACTAGTATGCCGCTGTGGTCACACCATACTGCATCCTCCACAGCCCTGTGGATCTAGTGCACCTGAATGTAATCAACCTTGCAGTCTCACACATAATTGTGATCATCCAGTTAAACATACGTGTCATATGGAACCTAAGTGTCCACCTTGTACAGTCATAATGAATAAAGTTTGTCCAGGAGGTGAGCTTAATTACTGTTGCCTTTGATTGGTATTTATATTTTCAACTGTTAACTCTTCACATTGACTACTGAGTAAACAGATAAAATATTTTTCATAAACTTAAAAGTATGTTGAATTATGCATGATTTTACTGATGTTGAAAGTTTTGTTTTAGTTTTATATATCCTTTATTTCAAGTTGACATGTCATCAGTTGGTAGTTTCGTTTAGTAATTCATTGAGTTGGCGAACATTGTGTTATTACATAAGCTGTCGATATATCAATGGACAATATATAAGGCGGTAAAGGTAACCCGAATCGGAACATATTTGTTTCTTTATTACTGACTGAAGATTAATCTCGTGATTGGTAAAAGCACCGAAAAAATATATTTGTTGAAACATTGTATGTTTTATATTTCATTATCAGTAGATTTCATATCTGTACCACAAGTGTTTTGAATTTACGTATACCTTTATACCTTTTAATATTTGACTATTGACCCCACCTTTGCGATTCGCACTACCTTTTATAAAACTAATCAAATACATAAACACTGTAGTGACTTCCATCCTCAAGTGTTAACCCACGCTTTATCGCCTAGTTCTGTAGAAGCACTTTGAGTGAGAATAATACAAGTTACCATCTCTATTACTAAGATTAGTCATAAACAAAATGTGTCTCATTTGATTTGAGTTGGTTCTTGTTGTGCGAAATTTTATATTATCTTAGTTCTTTTAAAATTTTAACTAGTTATTTTCCTACTGCTCCCTAATATCTAGCTACACTGAAACTGCATGTGTTGTTAAACCTTATGGCCTTCAACCTAAGTGCTTTTCTGCGGTTTCTAAACAACTGGCACCTTTCTCCTTTGTGTTGTACCACAAAGGGCCGATAAGTAACATACAACTGCTTTTAGAAAAACAAATTTTTTCACTTCATATATACTTATCAAGAGGCTCGATGCCATCATATCGTAGAATTGAAGATAATATCTCGCTCTTTAAATTCAAGCGCAAAGAGCTAAAAAGAAATTAATTATAAATATGTTCAATTGATGCTGGCCTAGATATTTGTTTTATTTCTTATATTACAAAAGCAATTTGATTTGAATTGATCTTACCGCTGGTAATTTGCTGATTGGGTTGATAAACCAAACACTAGGCTGGATTACATGAACTCAGACAATTAAAGTCTTAACAACTATCAACATTAAAACTAAACCAAAACAATAGTTTATTGAACAATAAAATCAGACTGGAATAAGTTTTACATGTAAAGCAGTCTTTTATACTTAGCATAGCTTTATTGAGCATCCACATATTACTTTCTTCGACACATCAATTTCTATGTGGTTTATACTCTTCCTCATTTTTAATAAAGTGTTTATTTTCATAAAGAGTTTCTCACTGTTCAAGAATTTTGTCATCTGTAAGCTGTTTTGAAGTATTTTTTTATTACTCTCTTAAAGCCACGCGTTAATTTAGCCCATGCTACATCGAAGATACTGTTATTGAAGATCTCAGCGAAGGATCACTAATAAAAATCTGTCAACTTGTCATTTTTAAATGTGTTTCGTAATCACTTATCTGGAGCCTTTACAGAGTCATTTTGGGACTAAGCACATCATCCATTTCTGCTACACTTATGGGTTGTGTTGTTTGAGTAGGCGAGACTAATTTATGGACGAACCAATCAGATATAAAGAAAACAGATCTTAGAATTTGGCGAGAAATTCATTCATCCATTTGTCTAAATAGCATTTCGACGTTATACCTGATATGCATTCGTGATGAAAACCCTAAATCTAATTTATAACCTTAACGATTGACTGTAAATCATAATTGTAATTCCTCAAACTATCTTATAACCTTCATTTAGTCATAGTTAATAGGTGGATATTCTCAAGGTTACTTTAGTATTGCTCAAAGGTCGTCCACAAATCATAGTCTCATCTTTCAATTACTTTTCATTATAATAAAGTCATCTGTAAAATTGATTAAATTAATCATGTGTATTTAATCATTTTTGTAAATTCAAAGCATATACAATCAATCTACAGAAAAAATGTCTTAAATCAATATCTCATTGGTTTTTGTACCCATTAGTTATGTAAACTTACACAAGTAAATTAAAAGTGATAATGTTAACTTTTGTTTTCTAGAGATTTAATCTCCATGTTGTTTTTTATTTTAATTTTTCTAATATGAGTCTAGTATAACTACATTTTATATACTAATTATAACCTAATTAGTACTTTCTAATTTACATACTAAATTTAAGTATTTTATATACTCACAGAGGGGTTTTGTGGATATTATAGTAATTTAATAGTTGACTTCATGAGTCAATTGAAGCTAGACCACCATGGGAAACGTAAACGGTGGCACACCTTCGTGGATTGGTTAAAGTTAGGCATTAATACCGTTGGGTACCGGCTCAGTGGTCTAGTAGTTAAGCGGTCGTACAGAAAGCAGATAGGTTCTGAGTTCGAATCTCGCGAGGTTGGTTCGTTGAGGAGTTCCACACTGGAACGAAACGGCCGTCTAGTGTTTCTAAGTTTTCCATGGTGGTCTAGCTTAAATTGATTCATGAATTCAGCCCTTAAATTATTTTGTATATGTTGATTAACGTTAAGCTGATTGCGTTAAAATACCAAGTTTTTTTAAACATCTGTTGATTTTTATGGATATCAGAGAGTGAGTATATTCTGCGTCAGTTTGTTCTATACTGGTTTTACAACTGCCAAAAAATCATGGGCTATGAAAAACACAGAATAGATGAAAGTTTTAAATATTTGATTATCGATATCTGTGAAGCATTGTTCACATGCTGTGAAAGTACCAAGTGATTAATGCTGAGGTGACATTGTATGATTTTAAATAGACATGATTAGTTCAATGATAAATCTGTAAATTTTCATCAAAGTACAGGCAGTTGAGACATGTTTTCGTTGGAATAAACTGAAGGGAGGTTAAGAAGAATGAGATTAAACATGGCACTAGTTTATGGAATTATTCACTGTTTTGAGACCCATAAAATTTATTTATTTGAACACATAAATATTGGTACAAAGAGGCACCGAATACGTATACGCCACATAAATTATTCGATTGGTATGAGGGATGGGATACTGCCTGGGTGCCCAAATTGAAGCAGTTGGTTTCCTTAGGAGGCCACACCCCTGGGCGTTTGACCTAAAGGTCTGACCCACAAGGCAGTGGACAACGTATGGAGATGTAGTCTCATGGTAGACGGTGACCAACAATTGGTTCATACGCCATTTATTTCCTTAGGATCCTGGAGCCCACATACACCACTGATTTGGAATCAGGGTTTTCCAACTCCCCTAGATGGATCCTCTGTATCCACCAACGGGTTTAGAGCACCGACCATTCGTTTTTCGTTCTCTCAACTTCGTAAACAGCACCCCCTCCACGAGAAGGCAGTGAGTAGGATTTCCATGGCAGCGGTTGTGTGCACGTGGCCACTTGAGAGAGTTTCGAGAGGGGGAGCTGACTCTCCCCACTCTCGGCCGTACCAGGGCATTCGGGGGCGGTCCATAAAATAATCGTTATGTTATACAGTTCGAAATCAGTTGAAGCGGCACAGATAAATTTACACTTGATTTTCCTCTTAATTTTCACTCGGTATCAACTTATGCATTTTATTGTTTAATCACATTCGTTTTGTTTGAAATGTATTTTTTATTGTTCAGTTTTCACAGTATTTAATATCACTTTTCCAGCTGTGTTTCTCATCTTTTGTATTACTTTCTTCGTTTTACTGAATTAGTGACCGGGACCGTTACATATTCTTGTCAAGTCATTCATTATCTATTTCTGTTTTACTTTTGACTGATTTTCATTTCTTGATTTCTGAAGTATTCTTTCTGTTACTCTACGTTAACCGTTTATTCTTTTTCACATACCATATCAGGACACGGAGTACAGTTTAAAGTGCCTTGTTTTCAAGAAGTTCGAAGTTGTGGTCGAATTTGCAAGAAACCACTTTCAGGTTGCTCACATCTTTGTCAGCGTAAATGTCACGCCGGTCCTTGTTCGAATCTCAGTACATCCGACGAAGAGAGTGATACTGTATGCATCCAACCCTGTCAGAAACCTCGTCCTGGTTGCGGACATCCATGTGGTTTACCCTGTCACGAGGTTCGAAATCAATCATGCTTGGAGGCTTCTTCTAATCACGGTGCAGAAAGCCAGTTGATTTGTACTGCATTAGTAGATGTCGTCTGTCGCTGTGGAAATATCAAACAAAAACAACAGTGTCATCAGGTAATCCTAATAAATTTTTAATGACATAAAACAAAATAATTTCTTTTAACAAAGTTGGTTGGCAAGAGAATAAGTTGGGGAAGGTTTGGTCGAGACATCACATCGGTTAATGATGTCGTTGACTATTGGTTTGAGCCACGTTTGCAAGTGCAAACTACCTGATTAAAGTCCTCGCGATTGTTGTGGCCAACTGTTGATGATATTGGATTAATTAGCTCACAATTGGTTATAATATTACAAATACATTAACCCTTTATCTACCGCTAGATTCTAAGTTCGAAAATAAATGGTTGGTTCGTTTTTCTTGAATTTCGCTCGCCATATTTAATTCTTCTTGTTTACTATCACTGCTACTACTTTGGTGTTCACCTTTGTAATTTAATTCTGCAGTGCTGACGTGATGTCCCATGTAGGGTCAGTGCACGTTTCTGCCAGGTCCTACGTTAGATCCACCGGAATAATGATCCTGAGGTCAATCAGAATCAGTAGACTGTTTTGGCTACTTAGACTATTTATATATGATCACATATAAATAATAAAAGATTCCACAATCAGTAATAAATAGCTTAGTCCACAAAAAACTCACATTCAAAATGGGGAACCTAGTAACAACGGTTAACTTTCACCATGGACAAGTACAGAAATGACTAGTTCAATATGGCTCGACAGATATAAAGTTTCTTAACTAAGAAAAATGTTAGTTTACGATTAATGAAACGACCATTGAGACATAAGAGATATTATATAGTAATAAAAAAAGGTTACTCATTGATAATATTTACTTACATCTGTTACCCCTCATGGAAGAGCGTAGGCCACCCACCAGCATTCTCCATCCAACTGTCCTGGGTAATTGTTTTCCAGTTTCTATTCATCCTTTTGGTGCCTGCTCTCGATTCCCGACGCAGTGTGTTCTTTGGTCTTTCTCTTTTCCGTTTTTCTGCAGGATTCGAAGTTAGTGTTTGTCTTATCTAATATGTTGTTACGTTTACATTGAAACTTTAAAGTCTTTTTTAATCGAGTTCGCTAGACATCAATGAACAAGTCACCTGAATTAGTTCTTGAGTTTTATACCCAGTTTACATCATACGGATAAGTCTGGTCAGTGAAAGTTACTACCAGTAAATCTATTGACCTCTTTCTTATATTTTGTACTAGTTTATTTTTAAATATTTAAAGTAGACTGGCAAACCTCCCTTAGTTCTAAACAATTAACAAAAGTTAACAGTATTTGATCAAGATGTAAAGTTATGACTGTTAAACCACATATCAGGTGAGAGCAGTTTTACTAGCAAAAGCTTAAATGAAAACAAGTCATTGTCATATACAGTCGCTTACATTACCATCGAAAACGAACCATATAAATTCCAGCAAACCAAAAAACCAAGAAACAATAGTCAAAGCAATAAAATTAGTCGAAGAGTCTTCTAGTATCTTCTCGATTTGTTTACTAGTACTAGTTGGTTGAAAACTGATCAATCAACGCATTCCGATTTGAGCCTGATCAGAGTATGTAACAATCAAAATTCTATTCTCCTGACAGTAAAAATAAGTTTCATTGTAAATTGTGACTACTGGTAACTGTGTATACCATGGCCTCATCCATTCAATATAAAACTCAAAACATCAACGTCTTGAAAAAGTTTTAGTACCAAAATGGGCTGATGAGTTTTGTTCAAGTTTATGACACTATTATGTTTTTTTATTCAGAAGCAGTCTTTTGTCATTTTCAAACTTCTTAACCTTTCATGATATAATGACAATATTGTTACCAGAATTGTTTATTTACACCCCCCATATAAATATAATGTGTATGCATTTTGTATAGATAATTTTGATTGTTCTACGATGAACCTCAAACTCCTCTTGTAGCTGTTCTAGAGTTACTGTTGGTCCCAAGCCCGGGTAAAGGAGGAGGGTTGGGTATGGGGTTAGCGACCCCATCCCGTAGAAAACCAACTCGCTCAAAAAACGCTAACCAGAACAGGGTTGGATGGAAAATGCTGGTGAGTGGCCTATGCTCCTTCACGAGGAGTAACAGGCGTAAGTAAGTAACAATGAACCTCAACAGTTGAATAACAAAGTGTCACAATGTCCTTGATTGTAGATTATTTTCAGAATTTCTTACCATTAGTTACTTAAGTAAATTTTTATAAAGTAGAAAGAAATATTGCGTGGAGAAGTGAAATGAAGCGATTTATTTTATTGTGCAGTACATCTTTAATAAGATTGAAGACAATTACATTGTTCCTGTTATTTGTACTACAAATTAGATGGACGTAATGCTTGATTATATAATACATCCAATTGAATTATTTGATCGTTCTATTGAGAACCAAATACAAATCACAACAAAACTTTATGTACACCAAGTGTTATGTCCTTGATCTGTCTACCCGCTTTTGGTGCTGAGGATAACTTGTCTAACTAGATTAAGACCTTGACGCGATAAGCTTTCCGGCTTAACCTTGAGGCTAGTACGCGTGAGTTTGAAGTGGGGTAGAGAGAAGAAAAACTATTCTTTCACCTGATTAGTTGACAAGCACGTGAGTGAGAGAAGACAAGCCAACTGGAACACTGCTCGATTGATTCTCAATTCCGATCTGGTTCCCGATTTTCGATTAGTGTAATTGAGTGTATGAATGAATAGATGACTAACCTGACCACAGCGTGCAATAATTAGGAAAATACAATTATGTCCAAAGCTGGGAATTAGAGTAGAAAATAGAGTACAAAATAATATCAGTTTAGGGGTTGTGGAGATTGTTAAGTTTTTGATTGAGATCAATGGTGGCGTAACATCAATCAGTTCATAATCTCAATCAAAAACAAAATAATATGTTTAAATTGCAATAGCTTTGGAACAAAAAGGAGTATGGCAGTGAATCATACACCAAACGAAAGCTTATATTCTGAAGAATAGACTAGGGGCAAAAATAAATGTTAATATTTTACAAGCTTTGAATAAAATGAAATAATGTTCCGAAAAATAGCTTCCGTAGTTTGTCTAGGTTTCTTGTTTCTCTGTTCACATCAACAGGTATAGATCAGTCAGTAAGTTGAATTATAGTCGAATGATTTTCCTAGTATAACGTGGTCTATTCTTATTTTTATCGCCGAATGTCTCTTTAATCGCAGATCACTCTAACTGAACATATAAATCATCTAAAATATAAGCACTAACTTTTTAAACAGAATACTTTGTAAATGGAATTTTGTATGAAACATCCTTGAAATAAACTGTTCATCAATTGAAAATCCTTATTATGAACTAAGTAAACTTTATTGGTGATTTAGGGGACCGCGAGATGATAGCAACCGATGGTTAGAGACCCTGAATGACATGGCTCAAAATCGTTTGCAATGGTGCAGGTGCATCCACTCTTTGTGTTCTCCCGAATTCTAATCTGAATTCATGTCCCTTTTTTCCCTCTTTCCAAATTTATTTCACTGGATTATACTCCTTAAATAACATCTTCAAACCCTAGTGTTTCCGATTACATATATACTCTTACTACCTCTACCACTACGGGATTTGAATCGACAACTGCATCTTTGTGCTAATGTGGTGTGGCAACTCGAACTGATGTACGTACGTACGAAGTTCTTACGCTCATATGATTTTGAGATGGTGGAGAAGATTTGTAGCTCAGTTGGATGATTTTGGTGGAGTTTTGTTCTCTGAGCTGGATGGTTTGGTCGTGGAGCTTTCATCGTTCTTCTGAACGACATCATCAGTACAAACTTCAAATAGAAGTGAAGTGTTCGAACTTCTCCATATGTGTTTCACAGCTTGTTCTGTGCACCTCGATGTTGATTGGTTCTTGTTGACCTTAAATTTATCATTGTTTACTTCTTTGTTTTGGTTGTGTCTCCTATTGGTTTGATTTTTATTCCTATATTTATGCATGATTTTTCTGATTGGTTGATAAATTGGATTGATTTCAATATGTTTGTTGATTGCTGATTGACCTGAGTGCCAGGACTCTAAAAATTCTCTGGTATTTTTGGAGTTTCCTCTGTCTAAGATTTCTACATTTTCCCAATCGAATGAGTGTCCGTAGTTATCCACGTGTATTGATATAAGTGAAGAGATATCATGGCGTTTGACTGCTAATTGATGTTCATGTAAGCGTAGATGGAGGGGGCGTCCGCTTTGCCCGATGTAGTGTTTGTCGCAGTTGGTACAATTTATTTTGTAGATGATGTTTGATTTGTTTTCCGTTGTTATTTCATCCTTTGGTTTGCATAGGATTGATTGTAGTGATTTTGTTGGGTTGTGTGCCACACCTATCCCGAAGTTTTTCAGCAGTCTCGTTGCGGTTTCTGATATTTCTTTTATGTACGGTAGGGTGATCCTTTTGTTGATTTTTGTGCTTGACTTGGGTTCTGATGCTGTGTGCCGTTGGTGCTTTTTGATGAAGTTGATTGGGTAGCCGTTCTTTTGAAATATGTCCTTCAGGTGTTTCTCTTCATTTTTTCGTGCTGCCAATGTGCTGCAGTGTGTCCTCGCCCTCTTGAACAATGTGTGTACGCAGTTGATTTTGTGAGCTCTTGGGTTGTTGCTGTTGTAGTTGAGAATTTGATCTGTATGGGTCGGTTTCCTATATACTTGAGTTTCCAGTTTTCCTGAGTCAGTTCTAGTGATCAATATATCCAAGAATGCTAGTTGGTTGTTTGACTCTTGTTCCATTGTGAATTTGATGTCATTGAAAACGTTGTTGATCAGTTTGTATGTGTTTTCCAGTTCATTCTTTTTGACGATGACGAAGGTGTCATCTACGTAGCGAATCCAAATTTTTGGTTTGATCACTGGTAATATCGTGGCTTCTAGTCTTTGCATCACTGCCTCTGCGATCAGTCCTGATATTGGTGATCCCATGGGTGTCCCTTTTGTTTGTTCGTAGATTTGATTGTTGAATTGAAAATATGTTTTTAGACATAAATCGATGAGTTTCAGTAGACTTTGAATTTGAAGCTTTGTGTATTTGGTGAGATTTGTGTCGTTGTTGAGTAGCAGGGATATAGTTTCTTTTGCTAACTGTTGTTGAATTGAGGTGAACAGTGCTGTTACGTCGAAGGATATCATGAGTTCGTCGTTGTTGATTTGAATATCTTTAATTTGGTCCAGGAATTGTGTTGGGGATTTGATGGAGTGTTTGGCTGAATCTACTAGATGTTTCAGTATTCGTGAAATTTCTTTTGACAAATTGTACGTTGGCGTTCCGGGGAGTGCTACTATTGGACGTAATGGGATGTTTGGTTTGTGTATTTTGGGTCTGCCGTAGAATCGAGGGAGTACTGGTCCACTGGATTTCATTCTCCATTGGTCTTGTTTTGTTATTTCTCCTGCTTTGACTAGTTTGTTTAAAGTCTTTGAGATTTGATTGTCTAATTTTTTGACGGGATTTGTGTCCATCAGTTTGTATGTGTTCTTATCTTCTAGTAGTTCTTCGGCTTTGTTGACGTATTCTTCTTTATCCATGATTACTGTGGTGCGTCCTTTGTCCGCTGGTATTATGACAATATCTTTTCTATTTCTGAGTTCTTTCAAGGCCTTTCGTTCTTGTGGAGTCAGTTGGTTGTTTTCTTTCACCTGTTGAGTTATCGGTACTATTTTTTGCCTTATTTCCTGTTGTGTTTCTTCACTGATTCCGGAAGTTTTGAGTGATGACTCTAGTGCTAGTACGAAGTTCTACGTTGTTACTGACTGATGACTGACTGAGGCAACCTCACATTTATAAAGGATTCTACTTATAAAATCAGTGGGTGAGACTATAATTTATGGACAACCTTTTAGCGACACTAAATTAACCTTGAGAATGTCCACCTACTGTTTAAAACTAAGTGAGGGTTATAAACCTGTAGGAAGAATAAAGATTACGATTTACAATTGATAGTTAGGGTTTTCATTACGAAGGGACACCAGCTATAATGCCAAAATGCCATTTAGCTAAATGGATGAATGCATTTCGCGCCAAAATCCAAGATCTGTTATCTTATATCTGATTGGTTCGTCCATAAATTATAGTATCGCCATTCTACGTTTTACAAATGAAAACTTTTAATTAATCTTGTACATTGGATTGTAATTAGAATTAATTTTGTAATAAAATCACATTTCGGAATTTTGTAATGGATATATTACTGGTTGAGTTGTGTACGAATACGAAACTATTCATTCTGTTTTTGATAGATTTTTACAGTGGTGAAAGGTACCATGATAAAAAAAATTTTTTATGGGATACTTTAAATAAACAACTGTTAGTACAACTATATATACTAACAACTTTATCCTAGGTGTATAGAAAGCAATATCTGCTTTTGGAGCATGAACACAATATGAGCAGTGCACCATTGACAGGTAGCCATTCACTTTTTACTGAACATGATTCTCAAAAGCCAATACCTCTATTAGCTTGTGATAATTCTTGTACTAGTTCTACAGAATCACATAAAACCAGTCAATATGCTAATACAAGCACTTGGAAGAGAGGTTTAACAAACAGTTCTGATGCTATGTCACCTAACTCAGATGAAGATGAATGCCCATTTGATCCTCCGGAGTATCCTGACCATTTAAAGCAGTTTGCACTAAAAAATTTTACTTTTGTTGAAAATATTGAAGAACGATTGAAAATTATGATTATGCAAGTAAGTTTATTTAAAAAACCACTTTGTGAATATTATTCAACGGATATTTCATTTCAGTCTTTCTGTCTACCGCTAAGTTTGATATTCACTAAAAGTTAGTCCACAATACTAAAACTTGTTTCAGTCTTGAGAAAGTTGTTTAAAGTGCAGTTTTCTCACAATGACAATCAACGGCAATAATGTTATTTACTGTCTTCAGTTTGTCACTAAACAACAGCATGATGATCTTAACACATAGTCACTATCACAGTGATTTTGTCAAATAAATGCCTTCTTAGATTTACCGAAACCACGTACATGAGGTCAACTGAAGTAAGTAGATTGTTTTACCTTCCCAGAGTATTTACATACGAAAATATATGAATAAGGAGTGGTTCCATAATCAATAATAGTTCGTTTTTGTTAAATTTACATACAAAGTAACGAACGCAGCAACGTGTATAGGTTCATAGATTGTTCAACGTAGTCGGACAAATAAAGCTTATATCAACCAATACGATTAATGAAAAATATGCAGAAAGAGGAATAAAAACTAGTTATTAATAATACAGCTGTAATACATATAAATTTTACAAGTTTATAACACGTCATGACAGTTTTCCGCTGGCTTTTTTTTCTTACGTAGTAGAAATGATATATGCTAGTCATTAGAGGAATTATTAACTTTGCTGGTTATTTAAAGGCAACTTGATTATAATCTGTAACATAATACATTTATTTCGTGCTCTTGTCATTTCATTGAAATTTACTGATCTTCATAATTTCATAGTTCATTGAACTTTAATAAACTGACTAACAGTTTTAAATACAAAAAAACAACATAAAGTCACATATTTCAAGAAAAAGAATTCACTATCAAAGTGTGTTAACAATCTGGAGTTGATCAAAAGAAATAAAATTAAATATACAGAAAAACTTGAACTTGTTATAACATGAGGCTTCTTTAAAACTACGTGCATACTACTATCGGAGGCATCTCATCCTAGTTGTCCTTATGTTCCTAGCTAATTCTGTACGCATAATTACGGGTGACAAACAAGATGTTTTTTAATAGATAAGAACAATAGAAATCGATGTTGTAAGTCGGTAATATTTAAAAGGGAATACGTAGGTGTATCATTATAGCATCATAAGTAAAGTATTCTTCCGAAAATTCGTGAGAAGAATATCTTGTTGACCTTTGGCTATTCTTCATGAATACCTAACATGTCTTGATCACGGTTTGGAGTTTGTGCATAGTATCCTCACAGTGATGAATTTCCCACTATTTTTAACTATTCTTTTATACCAGGGAAAAGTTGTATGATGGTTACTACAACATAATAGTTTTAGCTAGTTTGTGAGATAAATATAAACCGTTTGAAAGATTTGATTTCAGAACACTGAAAGTTTTACTGGAATAGTTTTTCTTGAGAAAAAGACTTATGAAATAGGTCTTAAACTCCAGATATTGTTGTCTTTATAGTGTTTATAAAAATAATTAGTGGCTTCGTGAATTGTTTTTGACTTTTTATTGAGTATAAAGATATAGTAATATGTAATGAACATGGTTTCCTTCTATTGGAGAAAAAGGCTAAAGAATTACACTGAGAAAAAACAAACAAAACTCCAATAGTTTGTGGTATGAATGTTTAGGAAAGTGATTTTTAGTATAAATTATGTAGAGAAAACTTTTGAAAAACATTTTCAATAGTTTCCACATTTACTGGATACACTCAAAACACTTCATGTACTTGCTTTACAAATATCATTTATTTTGAAGTCATGATGTCTGCTGAAAATCGAGTATTTCCTTTATTTTAGTTCTTGAAATCAAATATTGAACCTACTGATCCAAATAATCCTAAAGAATACCCCAAAGTTCTGGTTCATCATTTTCCGCCTATGAATAAAAGAAAACGTCGATTCATTCATGATATTGTAGAATACTATGGTATGGAAGCTTGTACATATGATCCGGGACCTAACTCTCATGTAATGGTTATTGCGAGACGTGGTTATTCCAAACTACCTGCAGGATCAATGAGTAATCGTGGAAGCCTTACCAGTGTACTCAAACGAGAATATCCTGAAGCCGTGAAGCTTTCCAACGAACAACCGAAATTTGTAAAAAATCCTAAGACTGACTGTAATGTATTACCTGTTTCAAATATTTCGACTTTGTCTTATGCTCAAATACTACGTGGAAAAATTACTTAATAAAACAGACTTTCATTCTATAAATGAAATAAGATTTGCCTTTTTGTGACGCACAGTCTTCCAGATTCATTCGATTTTTATTCGGTTTAATCTGTTTACTTTGTATTTACATGAGGTTATTTTTTAAAATGAATATTCGTAAATTGCTTGAGTCACTGGTAATATTTCCCTACAAATAGTCCGTTCTGTTCAGTAAATGCCATACTATCGTAATCCACCTCGTAATGTTGCTGTTATATGAAAATTGACCAAAAGATCTAAAAGAGAGGGCAGTACATGTTGGAAGCGCGAATTCACAGTACCATTTACTTTTAAGGAGTTTTATAAAGAACATAAACTTTATGTATTCGTCAGTTAATATACAGGTACTTCGCACTTGAACGCCTTTCGATTGGTTGGTGGTTTTTCGAGTTTTTGATTTGGCTCCTATGACCTGAAAAGAGGTTCGCATTGTAATTCAATTATTGTTGTGACGCGTCGATTAATGTATACGACTTCCTACAGTGGAAGTAACTATGCACAGTATTTAACTCTTAGAATATATATGGAGTATACTTTACCACTGCGCAATAAACGCAACAACTTAACTATGAACAATGGATACGAATGCTGTTATTTCCAGCAGTGGTTCAATTTTGAAGAAACGAGGACAAACGCGGTTGTCATAGGCTCTATAGTGCCAGTCGGCTGCTTGTCATTTAGTCCAATACTACTTAAAGACTAGCGTGCAAGTGGTTTGGTATTTACGTCTAAGGAGGGTTTTTTTCCATACTGTGGCGCATATCTAGAAAATATACTGAGTATACAGTATTCAGAGCACATAAAAGTATATGGTGGCCCATGATCTGACCCATATCGTGTGAATGATAACTTTCGCTACTCTCGTATATAATCATCGACCTAACTCGCATTAGTGTATAGTGGGATTTAATGTGTCAAATACGGTAATGAATTTAGAATACGTGCATTTCATACGGTCGTTGATCGGAAAGCGAAGCAATAGCAAATGACGTGCAATAAATGAAGCGAATGAGCCAACTCGACTTAATCAAGGGTAGATCGATATTTATTTCCACGTAAAAATAAGCTAGATATGTTAGGCAATTAGTGCACATACGTTTATCTAAAAACAGCCAGAATGTGATTTAAGAATAATGAATTGAATGACTTGTCCGGAAGCTAGGATAAACTATGTGGACGTAGCATAGCACATGAAGTTGCACTATTCCTCACAAGTATCACAATAGACAGACGTATCGATAAGGCGTGACAAAGAAGGATAGACTCATAACATAGAATTCAGTGTGTCAGAAATCACATCTTGGTGATACTCGGAAAAGATTACACTTCCCTCGGAATCCCCTACGTTTTTCAGTAAAATGTCGAGTAAACAGTGCATTAGTGAATAAATTTTGGTTCTATGTTCCTGTAATTTGGAATATATGACAAAAGAAAATTGGAATACTTTATCCTTGATCATCGTTAACTTGTTAGCAAAACTTATGCCGGTCACTGACCATGTATTCAAAAGAGTAGCGATGATTAGTGGCCCGTGGATCTGACTATTATTTAGATAGTATAAATATTTATTATCGCCTATTTTCGTATAAAATCGTCGACTTAATCGCCTTAGCCAATAACGGAATTAAATAAGTCGAATAACGAGAATTGATTTGTGAATACATATATTTTGTATATGAAGCGAATGAAATAGAGCATAGCAAAACGACACGCAGGGAAGATGGCTGGGAAGCCAACTCCATTTTAGTCAAGCGTTACTAAATATTTATAGTCAGACAAAATAAAGTTACAGACATGCAATGAGTCATGGGATATGACGTGCACACACATATACGCTCATATAAAAACAGTGAAGACTGATAAGCGAATAAATAACAAGGTCAAAGTATGGCTCAAGTAGAATGAATAGAATGTGATGTCCGAAAGCTAGAATAAGGTATAAGGGCTTAGCATAATAACTGACACTACACAGCCCCCTTGTAGAAAATAACACATTTAAAAATGTCTGTTTTCGAAAATAACCGTGAAGTGATATGAAGCTAACGTTAACAATAAGTAGCCAAAAAAATTATACAACACTCGATTAAGTACAGTGTCACATGAGGGGTGAGTGTATTATATGAAAATGTCATACTTATGTAAAAGAATACATGAATATCGCAAAGGTGCGGACAAAAATGGAAGCGTTAACATGCGAATTTGAGCAAATTAATGAGCGTACAAAAAATTAACATCTAATAATGCTGTGATTGTCTGAACGATAAAATAGCACGTTCGTATGAGCGGTTCAAAATATCGTGAAAGTAGTAATAAATTGTTTGTGGGTATGACAGCGAAACAAATTGTGAAAATAAGTAGAGTATAATATGACAGAAATTGGTCTATGATGCTGACAAAATAGTGAGATATGTTAAATATATGTTCTGTTGAGCCACATTAGAATAGATAGCATCGACTAGCGACGAGTGAATTCCAATTTAAATGCGTAGTTCCCGTTCGTAGAATAATAATAATAATAGTCAAGTCGTGAAATGATATCTGCATCGACGGGTGATATTAGTTGCAGTACTGCAATTGATAATAATCATAAACTATGAAGTCAGTGAACGTTGTCGTCTGCGTTATGACAGATGCATTGATTTATCGTTAAATATGTATTAGTAGAAGAATGACCAGAAGAACAGAATAGTGACTGAGTAGACGAGGTACGTAGAGTCGTATTCCTTTTCGATCATGAAGCCTGGAGTGGTCTGTGTGGTTTGAGGGAGATGCGGTCGACCTCGTTTGTTACAAAACCGTACCAAGGCATGACAAAAATACCAATACATATGATTAGCGATGGCGACGTATGAGACTGACTTGGATGTGACGAACAAGAATGTATCTTTGAGAGACCAGCTCTAAACTCTATGTCCTGATATACAGTGCGATGGACATAGAATAGTAGTTGCAGTACTCGAATAACGTTTTTGGTTGATAAATGATGCGGCGTGCAGTTATGCATGTGAAAGAATAGATAAGATGAACGTAATGGTTTCTAGTCAGCTAGTTAGATGCATCCACAGACATAATAGAAGGCGATTTCGAAATGAAAAATGTATATTATGATAGCATAAAATAATGACCTCGACTAAGTGAATGAATGTCATATTAGGTCAAAATGACATGGAAGAAATAGGAACGAACTCACTTAAAGCAGGAAAATTTCATGTTTTGAATAGTAAAAATATCCCAATGAGTTCTAGATGTCATTACGTGGAGTGGAATTTTCATAAAATGATAATTTGTTCGGTGAGTGATATGATTGCGGAAATGTCATAATTTAATGACAGCACGAACATGATTAATAATTCCACGTTCGGTCATGATATTGGCAATAATTTAATAATATGCATATAGGGATAATTTGAATCGTAATGGAACAATACGACAAATGTATCAATGAGGATAGTTGACATGAGGACAAAGTAACAATAAGATAATAAGATTTGTGCATGTCCATGTTGTGCTGCACAGGCTTTGCTGAGTGCGTCGGATTAGAGATTGAGGTGGACCCGTTGAGTGTGTTCGTCGAATGTATCAAGTGCAGAAATCTCTTCATCGACGTAGCTTGCTGCGTTGCGTTCGTCATCGGCGGGCTCATCATTTTAGTGGCCCGTCGTTTCCTGTTCCCACGTCGTGGTTACCATTTTAGTGGCTTGTACATCTGACTCCTATTTAGATCGTATAAATGTTTGTTATCGCCTATTCTCGCATATAATCGTCGACTTAATCGCGTTAGCCAATAACGGAATTAAATAAGTCGAATAACGAGAATTGATTTGTGAATACATATATTTTGTATATGAAGCGAATGAAATAGAGCATAGCAAAACGACACGCAGGGAAGATGGCTGGGAAGCCAACTCCATTTTAGTCAAGCGTTACTAAATATTTATAGTCAGACAAAATAAAGTTACAGACATGCAATGAGTCATGGGATATGACGTGCACACACATATACGCTCATATAAAAACAGTGAAGACTGATAAGCGAATAAATAACAAGGTCAAAGTATGGCTCAAGTAGAATGAATAGAATGTGATGTCCGAAAGCTAGAATAAGGTATAAGGGCTTAGCATAATAACTGACACTACACAGCCCCCTTGTAGAAAATAACACATTTAAAAATGTCTGTTTTCGAAAATAACCGTGAAGTGATATGAAGCTAACGTTAACAATAAGTAGCCAAAAAAATTATACAACACTCGATAAAGTACAGTGTCACATGAGGGGTGAGTGTATTATATGGAAATGTCATACTTATGTAAAATAATACATGAATATCGCAAAGGCGCGGACAAAAATGGAAACGTTAGCATGCGAATATGAGCGAATTAATGAGCGTACAAAAAATTAACATGTACTAGTGCTATGACTGTCTGAACGATAAAATAACAAGTTTGTGTGAGCGATTCAAAATATCGTGAAAATAGTAATAAATTGTTTATGGGTATGACAGCGAAATAAATCGTGAGGATAAGTAGAGTAGAATATGACAGAAATTGGTCTGTGATGCTGACAAAATAGTGAAATATGTTAAATACATGTTCTGTTGAGCCGCAGTAGAATAAATAGCATGGACTAGCGACGAGTGAATTCGAATTTAAATGTGTAGTTCCCGTTCGTAGAATAATAATAGTCAAGTCGTGAAATGGAAACTGCATCGACGGGTGATATTCGTTGCTGTACTGCAATTGATAATGATCATAAAATGTGAAGTCAGTGAACATTGTCGTCTGCGTTATGACAGATGCATTGAGTTATCGTTAAATATGTATTAGTAGCATGACCAGAGGAACAGAATAGTGACTGAGTAGACGAGGTACGTAGAGTCGTATTCCTTTTCGATCATGAAGCCTGGAGTGGTCTGTGTGGTTTGAGGGAGATGCGGTCGACCTCGTTTGTTACAAAACCGTACCAAGGCATGACAAAAATACCAATACATATGATTAGCGATGGCGACGTATGAGACTGACTTGGATGTGACGAACAAGAATGTATCTTTGAGAGACCAGCTCTAAACTCTATGTCCTGATATACAGTGCGATGGACATAGAATAGTAGTTGCAGTACTCGAATAACGTTTTTGGTTGATAA